ATAACGAAAATGACAGACACAAATAGGTCGAACAATCAAAAAAATAACAATACTTAATAAAAGGATACCTAGGAATAATAAGAATAGAAAAAGATAGAAACTTTAAATAATTCAAAAGATATTTAAAAAAAAGAAGATTAATTAGAAAAACAAAAAAGCCTAAAATAAGAAAATCAAAAAGAATAACCACTTTAAAAAGAACCTGAAGAAGTTGAGGAAAATTATGAGGATGACAATTATGAAGAAGAATTTAATCAAGAAAAAGAATAAGAGTAGGAGTAAAAGTAAGAGTAGGAGTAAGAATAGGAGTAAGAGCAAGATTAGGAACAGTAAGAAAATGAGCATTAATCAGAACAGAAAGATAATAAAGAAAATAATGAAGAAGAATATTAGTGATATGAATTTAAGATATAAATATAATTTCTAAATATACAAATTATATAAATCATATAAATAATGTACATATTCTTGCAATTATTGTCTAAATTGGTTAATATATAAGCATAGCTCCCAATTAGTATTCCTTTGCATTTATGTCTATGCTGTCTTTATGTAATTACCAATTTAATTCTAATAACACTACTATAGCGTATGCAACAAAAACACATGATATTCCGATTAAATAGGTTATAACTATAGCTTAGAATTGCATAATAGCAAATTAAATCTAACTTATAAATATAATAATTGGGCAAATCATCATGAAAAAAAATGCCTTCTTATTTTCAATATTTTCCTTTTTGATAAACGAGTATGCTTCAAATCCGATACCAATTCCTGTGAACATACTTAGAGCTATGCATAATAAATATTCCTTTAATTAAGTTTAGCTTTAATCATCAGTAGTATTATCTTATTGCATTACCATAAAACTTGTAATGCCAATAAGGATTAACGAATAGAAAAAGATTTCTATTATTACTAAAACCCATTTAATTATCTAGATATCAAATAAGGTATACATAATTAATTCTTCGATGAAATATCAAAATCAATGGATATAAAATAAGAGAAAAAGCTAAGCTCACCCAAAATAAAGCAGAAAATGAATAATCTTCTCCTTTGGGTTTAATTAAAAAATGAGAAAAGCATTAAGGTTAATATCCACATCCAAACATTAATGAAATTTGCAAAATTAGGATAATAATGGAAAAAAAAGATGATATCTGTTTAAGATATTTTAACTTAATCTCATAACTCCCAATGCTTAAATCATTCTAACCATTTTGATTTTTTATTATTGATTTGGTTAAGCCTACTAATAGTTGAAATTAAACTCCTAATAACATGCAGCATAACACTTAAATATCATCGAAAGCGAACTTTTTAATAAATGAAAATTTACTTCTTTTTAGAATTTGTATTTTTGAGTGATTTATAACATTTATGAACTCAACCATGTAATAATCATAGTCACAAATGTTTAAAATAATGGTGAATATATTCCTACAAATATATTCAATATGAACTCAATTGAAATTGGAGTAATTAATACAATCAACCAGCATTCTATTCATAGATATATATGATATTGAATACCTTCTCCTTAAAAATGAGTGTTTGTCATATTTGAATAAAAATTAAGTAATAAGATTACACCTCCAATTTACAAATAAATTCTCCATAATTAGTCTTCGAAATTCACTCCTAAAAGAGTCCAAATAAAAAGAAATGCAAAACTCCCACAAATTAAGTAAATTACACTTGCTAATGTATTCCAAATTTTTTTATTTTAATTTTCAGCCAGAGAAGCACTGTATTCAAAATAAAAATGACATAGTTAGCAAATTATGATTAGGCCCCAAAAGATCCATTATTTTTCATATTAATATATATATTTTCCTAAAAGTGAAACACCGCAAAAACACTAAGATTTAAGAATTAATTTTACAATGTATTCTAAGAGCAGGAGAGTGTATGTTTTACGAATAAATGTATTTCTATAATCATCTAAACTGATTCTAAGGGGATATAATCTTTAAATACCCATTTTTATCAAGAAAACTCTTTTGCATTGATAATATTTCCATATAACTCATCTTTGATAATGTAATATTATATAATTATGAAAATAAATAAATATTTTTTATACCATGAATTTGTGATGGTTATCTCATTATGCTTCCTTCTTTATCAGTTCTACTATATCTGATCTACAATTTGGACACTTACGGCTATTTGATAGCCAAGATTTACAACAATTTTCGTGAAATATATGTTTACAAGGGAGCTAAAAAATCTATTCCTCTTTATATATTAAATACTCTTTACCTTTCTGGAACTCATTGCAACATATGCTACACTTCTTATTGGATTTGCCCATTTTCATTCGTTTAATTTTATCCATAAAATTTTTAGGAACTCCATTGCTTTTATGAAAAACTTTATTTAAGTTATTTTCCCATAATTATTGTTGCAATTACTTAATAGATAGATACTATTCTTACTTATATTTCTTTGTTAATACCCTTGAGCAACTAAAATAATAATAAGTTTTACTTTGTTCCCAAAACCTAATCTACATTATATCACTTTGTTCATTTTATTAGTTCTCTTATATTTAACAATTTTTACTCCCACATTCTTCTCCAATTAATAAATTCATTATGTTTATGTTTTAGTTATTGTCTTTAAATTTTGTTCGATAATTATTTAAATTAATCTTTGTAAAATATTATATCAAGTAATATATGCTATTGGAATAAGTATATTTTAAATTCTGTTTTTCTTATATTTAATTATTATATTGATATTCAGTGTCATAATATAATTTCTAAAATAATTTAGAACTGAAAATTTAGAATTAGAGGAACAAGAAAATTCTGGAATTATGATATTTATAATTCCCTACTAAAAAAAAAAAAATTAATAATTCATAATAATTTATTAATTTTGTATGGTTATTTTATTACTTAAAAAGATTAATTATTAGATTAAACCTTCTTAAAACTAAATTATTTACAGGTATATTGTTTCAAATAATCGATTCAAATGGGGCATCTATGCTTTTACTGTAATTTCTTAAATATATATTGCATTTCCAGTCATCTAAATTCTATGCCTCTATTTCCAACAAAAACAATGCTCCATTTCTTGCATATACTGCAGGTTATAGACCATCAGTGTATTTAATATTTTGATGTTTATATAAAAATTAGATTGCTTCCGTTATGAATCCAGCATGACTTATGGCTAATATATTTGTACAACTTGTAGATTTCTAAGAAGAACTGAATTATTAGGCTTAATGTATATAAGATCGCATGATATGATGAGAATAATGAGGTTCTGCAACTTAAGAACTCAAAATCATTTTATTTAGTGAATCAAGGGGTAACTATATTTGTGTTAAAAAATTAATTACTTTTTAAAATGATTGTTAATATAATTATTGTGTGATCAATTAATTAAAGAAACCTTGGGCTCTAATTTATATTTCTTCAGATGTTTCTGCATTATTTTCTCTGTCTACCATAGTTTAACTTTAAAGTGGGTACACTTCTGAATAGGATTTCAATAGATCACTTCCAGGATCTCTTTCTCTTAAAATAGGTGTATAGATCACATTAGAAGGTTTATGTTTAAGTTCATCTTCTATTATTTCATAAGATTCAATGCATCTAAATTTCTGACATATTTTACCTTTTAAAATCGCTCGAATAGGCATAATCAAATCTAATAGATGATAATTTTTTGCCTATGTTTTTGCATTGTACTTTTCCCAAACCGCTCAATCCATACTCATTCATTCCAGAAACAATTTTTAAACTCTGATATAATGACTAGCCATGTCTTATCAAAAATATTCGAATCATAAATAGGTATTTATTTTAATATTTATTTATACGGTCAATATTATTCATTACTTTTTTGGTGGAGGAGGTGGTCCTCTTCTTTGCGGAGCTGGAGGAGGAGGGACACCTTTTCCTTATTAAGTTGGTTGCTTAATCTCTTAAACAGCATTTTATTGTGTTCTTTAATTGAATATTTATTATTAATTATTTTATTATTATTACTCTTATTGCCACTATTGTTATTAATTACTTTGTTGCTAATACTATTATTGTTAAAATGGCTACTAGGGTAGAGTTTATTATAAATTTGGTTATGGTTGTGGTTAAGGAGGAGGAGGAGGGGGTGCTACGTGATGTTTTGGAGGAGGTTATGGAGGTGGAACAACTTATGTTTATTATTATTCTTATCTAAAAGGTTCTTGAACAAAAGGTGGAGCTTATATATTTTAAGCTTCTTATTTCTTAGGTTAATTTGGTGGAGGAGCGGTTTTTACTGGTGGAGCTGGTTTCTGTACTTGTCGTCTATTTGGAGGTGGAACTCTAGATAATAAATTTTAATATTACGGTTCTTCTGCAACTTTTGCAACATTTGGGCCGAAAGGATTATTTATAGCTGAGGCGTTTTAATTAGAATTTTATTGAGTCTACTATTTTACATTATGATCTTCTTAGTGTTGGTTCACAGCTGGTCTTGTGGGTCTGGATACAGGTTAATTAGGAGCATGAACAGGTTAGGCTTATGTTTATTTAACTATGCCCATTTTTATTTATTCATATTTAAATGGGAAAGTTGGTTTGTCCATGATTTTCTGTATTATGCTTCTATCTTTATGATTTCCTTTGTAAATTAAATCTAGTAATTCTAAAGCTCTTTAACAATCAGGAGAAGAAAAATTGAGAGCATAAGCAGCCGATAAATATTAGTTATGTTAGATTGCAGAATTAGCAAATTATAAAAGCAATCTATCAAAAATGGCATCAAATATTTCACTTTCCTAGAGTGAATATTATTGAATAACAATTAAGAGTTTAATTGCCTCTGTTAGTTCTTTTAAAGAATTATTGTGATTAGTTAAAATCTTAATGCATTTTTCACCATTCATTGCAAGGATATAACATTGAAGAGCATTGAATTCATCTTTTCTTTCAACAATAAATCTATCTCCTAATTATTCCATAATTTTATGGAATTATCCTGTATTATCACTATTTAACACCATAGCGGCACATTCCTTCCAAGTATTTAATTCATAATTTTTGGCTATTTCATCTGGGTGTTTGAGAACAATGTGTTTTAATACATTTTTTAAGAAGTAGTCTGTTTATGTTGTTAGAAAAGTATTCATTGTTTATTCAAATATTTCTTTGCTTTGAGAATAAGCTAATAATAGAGCTTCTGCAGATCTACCACATTTCAAAGCACAATCAATGGCTCCTTCATAATTACCAACAATTAAATTATCTTTGATTATTTTTTCAACTCCAACATTCCAATTAGTATTTTTTGATACTTATTCAGATTAAAAGATTTCAACATCTTAATTTCTACTATTATTGGTTTATTATTATTTGTTGAGTGATTAATTAGTTAAATCATTGAAAAATGAATCTGCATCTTAATCAGTAATTGTGGCAAAATCAATTGCAGCTCTTTAAGGAGCCTAATTCTTCTTTTTATTTTGATCATCCTTCTTAGCATGTCTTTTTCCAGTATAATTTTCTGTTTATTGTGTAATTTCCTTGACAGAAAATCCCAAAGTAGCTAAATATTCTTTTTTATCTTCCTTTTAAACTGAATTTATTAATTTCCAATATTAAGTATATTATTAATCATGTTATTTTTCCATTTCTAATAGAATTCTATTTTATTCTGAATCCACTGAACAAAATGCATTAAAACTTTCAAAAATATTATCTGGATCAGTTTTAGCAATCTAATATGTTTGTATTGCAGAATTATTTTCTTTAAAACTTGCCAATTAATCAAATGCATATGCTGATCCTACAGGAGGCTTTAACCATTTTGGAGCATATCCTTCCTTACCACTTGGTAAGCTTCTAATACTTGTTTAACCATCTGCACTTGAAATCGAATAGACTGATGTAACTCTTTTACTCCATTTTAAATCTGCTATTTCAAAGTCCAATTGTTCTTAACTTACAACTGATTAAGTCTTGTAATTCCAACATACTACTTATCCATCTCTACCTCCTGTCAATAATAAGGAATGATCATTTGGACACCAAGACAGACTGTTTATTCCAGATCTATGAACTTAACTAAAAACAATTGTTGGTCCTTAAGGATTTCTTAAATCCCAAATTTATAATTCTGGTGCTCTTTCATCGTCATATGCAACTGCTATTTATGTTGGAATTTCTGGATTCCACAATAGACTTACTTTTTTGTTACTTATTGCACTACTATCCTAAAAACTAAATATTGGCTTATTATTTCTCAAATCCCAAACACCAGTCATACCATTTTAAGATGCAGATGCTAAAATATGCAATATTTTCTTATTCCAAGAAACAGCTGTAATTGAACTATCTTCATGGAGATTAGGATTTCCAGGTCCAAAAACTTATGGATTTTAAATATCTTTGATGATATCAGCAATCTAAAAAATATTGTAATTTATTACTAACACATCTTAGCCTCCTAAAGCTATTAAATTTGGTTTAAATTCATTAAATTCTATAGCAGTCACTGGTCCCTCATACAATTAATCAATCATAGCAACACAGCTTTCTTCCTCTTAATTAATTGCTGAGTTTGCATCATAAAGTGCCACGTAACCTTCTGTTGTTCCTGCAGCTACTAAACCCATAGGATAAGTTTCTGGAGCAAAATTTTCCCAAGCCAAACACGAAACTGCATCTTTACTCGAAACTGTGCCTATAATAGATGTTGACGTGTTCTTCTATGCGAGGTTAAATGAATTAAATTATAATTAAGAGCTTAAGTTATTGATAATTAAAATACCCCCATTAATCATTTACTGCTGTAACTAACAGATTTGATTATTATTTTAAATTAGACCATGCAGACATGTTTCCTTAAGTTGTCTTTAATAACATTTTTTAATAATTTATTTATTAATATTTTTTTTAATTAATACCTAAATTAAATTTGTTTAAACAAAAAATCTATTAATATATATTAATATTTCAAAGGATATTTACTCATTTACTATTCAACACTGATTATAATATGATTCCAGCTGATACACTTACATTTAATGAATCAACTAAGGTTTCTGGAAAAGTATGTCGACTAGTCATTATATTTACAATTGTATCACATTATTTGAATAATTCTGTTCTTATTCCTGAACTTTCAGATCCAAAAATGATTATTTTTTTAGGTTTATTTTAATCCTTCTAAAACTCATCAATTGGAATCTCACAAATTATTATATATATATACACTATTGCTTTCAAAACCACTTCCTATTACCTAAAACTCATGTTTTCTTTGTTTTACAAAATTGGCCAAATTATCAGTTTCAAAAATGTTCATTAATTCAAGAGCACCTGCACTTGTTTTACTTACTGTTGGAGATAATGGACATTAACCCTTTTTTTCAACAATAACTGTATTAATTCCTAAAAAAAAACAGACTCTTAAGATTGCTCCAAAATTTTAAGGATCTTAAACTGAATCCAATAGAACAAAATTGGATTCATCAGGTAATTAATTACAATAATTTAATTTTGAACATTTTAAAATTACATTTTAATGGTGGTCATTGCTGCAATATCTTTCTAATTTATTCTAAACTTATTAGTTTATATTAAATACTTTGGGAATCATTTAAACATCCAGTTTTAAAGATTAAGCTCTATTAAGAATATTAGAGACTCTTGGGTTGATATAATCATCTCTAATTATATGATAATATAATACTTTATTATGTTTAATTTACATAAAGTTATGTAAATGATCTTTTGTTAGCATATAATGCAGACATAACTGGGTTTATGCCATATAAATAATCATATGATTTCTAAGACGAAAATCTTGATCCAAACTTCAAAATATACATATAATAATTTAAAATTTATTTATGCCTTTGTATGAATTAATAGCAATTTGCAGATGCTCCTAGGCATAAGGTACAGCTGCTGCCATTCGATAGTTGTCAGTCACAATTTTCTAAGGAGGTATTATCTTACAATGAAAAAAAATAGGTGGAAATATTAGAAATGTGAGAATTTTAGGAGATAGAATCATGAGTAAACAAATTATAGGAAATGATGGATTTAGACATTTGATAGGGAGATACGTTTCAGTCTTATATGATGGTCATCCTAGCAAATTTAGAGAGGTGTTAAAAGGAGGAGATAAATCCTTTGAAATCTTTAGATTATAGCATTATCGCGTTAAGGACTTCATTCCAGAGGCAGTAGGATTTACAAAACCATTTGAAGAAGAAGCACCTTTTGTGAAAAACAAGAGCGTTCAATCTTATGATTATGGAAGAGCATTGCAAATATTGAGAGAAGAAAAGTAAAAATTATCCTGAGTATTATAAAAATATTTCATTAAAGTATTAAATGCTATTCTTATTGTTACTACCATTACTTACTTACGGATTGAATACAAAAGCCAAATGCATAATAGATCCACTGACTAATTCTTGCGATCATTTAACTATTTATTTCTATCCTTCATATCCAATTCGAATAAATTCAATCATCTAATTAACATTACCTTTTACCATTCAAGGGTAAGAATAACTACTTCTTACTTCGTTTGACGGTATAAATTAATAACAATCTAGAGTCAACTGTTGCCTTATTAACATTAACAGGAAGTACACATTTTACAGTGACTTAAATATTACCTGAAAATACTTGGTATAAATGCAATTTAACATTGTCTACAGTATTATCTAAGAAATAGAAAGGAATAGGATAATTCTAAATGAATATTGTAGCATCAGAATACTCAAATACTTTAATATTAGAATAAGGCCCTTAAATTCCTCTTACATATTCAGTCATCAATTAAATTTATAATCCACCATCAATAACTCCAATAGCAACAGTGATCCCATCTTCATCTGGAACATTATGCGTAACTTCTGATTGGGGATTTACATTAAATAAAAATATTGTTAGATAGCAATAATCAATGACTTTCAGTCTCAGTTATGATACTACTAATGATAGATTAGATGTAATACTTACTATGGTTGATTTAAATAGTGGATTTATATTTCATAGAGAATGCTATTTTTCAGGACCTGAGGTAGCCAAGTTTGCTACTGAATGTACATTAAAATAAACAGGATCTAAACTTACATTTTAATTAAGAAGTTAAAACTCAGTACTTTTAAAATAATAAACTGAATATCTAATTGAATTTTTCGTATCTCATTAAGGAGATACAATTACAGCAAGCACCTTTACAGTGGAAATTTATCATGATACTCAATTGATTGATTAATGCTAATCTACAAAAACATTTTTAATTGATGAAACAGACATGCCTACTTCATTATTTCAAATAAGTGAGGTGGAACTATATTTAGATACACCTAGTATTGGAGTACCAACATTTATGGGTGTGGCATTTAGACCCAAAAATATATAAATAGATACACTTATTAGAATTGAATTAGGATTCTTAAGTTATGATTAATTAAATTGTTAAGTCTTTTAACTTGAAATAGATACACTTATGCCTTCATTATCATTTTCCCATTATTCCTATGATTCTTAAAACCTTTATTTTTATTCAAACAAATACAAACCTGATCAAATTTAATATAAATATAGTGTCAATTGCACTGGAATTACAATCTTGTAGACTACTAATAAAATATTTAGAGTTATATATGAAGATATGTATCATACAATAATCTAATATTTTCAAATCCGTCAACCACCAAGGTTACCAACTGATACCTAGACTTAATAGGCTTCATTATAGATTGTCAAAAATATAGAATTGATATCTAAGAAATTTAATAATCCTTTGGTTAGTAGTATTATATCGATAAAAATTGTTCCTATTTATGGAATTTATAGAGTATTAATAGAATTTCCATCTTCTTACACTACAAATATAATAAAATGTGTAATAAATGAAACATCCTCTGTATTTTGTGATTAGGATTCTCTTAATCCAAAAAGATTAATAGTTTATTTAACAAAATATCATGATAGTGAACTAATTAAAGATCCATTTAATCTCACTGTTTATGGGATGATTAATCCATTGGAATTAAATTATAATAGTCGAATATGTGTAATTTTGGATGATGATAACATATTGACACCTTTACTGTTTGGAAATGAAGATAATTTAAATGGGATAACATAATTTGAATATCTTGATGACTATGTTAATACAAATATTTACAAACAATTATCGACTAGTGATTTTAGATTTTCTCAATCTTAAGCTAGGGCTTATGATTAATATTTAATTGGTAATATTACTTTTTCAATGGGAAGCATTAACGAAATAAATAAATTATATTTGCGAATATCAGATTAATACACAATATATGAATTGAATTGTTAACTTATAAAAGTAGGTGATCAACAATTGAATAATTATATTAGTGCGTGCAACTAAAATTAAAATTATATTGAGATGGATCTGATTACAGATACAGGCAATATTAGATTTAGTCAACAATATTATTTAAAAATATCAAATTTCAGAACATAAGATTTAATATCAATAGATTAATATGCTGTTTTGTAACCTATGATTTAACTCTTCTTAGCATACGATGATAATATAATTTCATTAGAAAATTAAGTGAATGGATCATTTGTGATGAAAAATTAAAAAATACCATTTTACTGGTACAATCTAGATGCAAATGATTAGTTTACTAGATTAGAGGTGCAACCAGGATTTGAGGATACAAAAACATATAAAATATATCTTAATCATTTTGGACTTGAAAGATTGTATTTAGGTTTAGGAGATGTTTCAGATAGATTCAATTGTACAATTAACTTATAGTTACCAACAATCCATGAAGATATTATTGTCTTTGGTTAGAGCAGTAAGTATGCCAAACAATCTTTTAGTAGTCAAACTATCACCTAACCTAAATACATTGTCAAATCAATGACCGATGATACATTCTATGAAACAATTAAGGATACTGAATTGGTAATTAATCCTGGAGATAGTGGATTCATATTCAGTGTAGCATCAAAATCATTAATAAATATCAAAATTAGAGTTCAAATAAAATATACTATTTCATTTCCTGATCGTAATTCATGGAATCCTATTTATTATTATAATCCATTTACAGAAATTCCTGTTTTATATTTAGAAATTATTAATAAAGGTTGTGAACTAATTCCTCAAAAGTCTACATACGATTTACCCATTAATGGTTATACGCATCCTATAATAATCGATTCATCTGAATGTATTCCTATTTTTGATACCAAACTGAATGTTACTATTTAAGATAACAATAAATTATAATTAGTTCCTATTTAAATGAGTATATCAAGATATAGATTTGAACTTATTAAAAGAACAACTCGAAAGGCTCCAGAATATAGCTATATTTTTTAAATCAAAGCCACCAATGAAACTCTTCAAGG